CGGAGCCGCGGGGGAGAGCGCAGCCACAGGGGCGCGGAGGGCAGAGCGGAGAGATTCCCGCACTGAGGATCGGTGCCGACCGGCGCTCACCAGCCTGAGAGGCTTGTCTGCTGACCCGCTGGGGCGGGTGGGGGCTGGGAGCTGAGGCTCAGTCTTCAGAGGTCAGATCCCAGGGAGAGGACTGGGGTTGGCTGCGTGAACACAGCCTGAAGAGGGCTAGTGCACCACAGCTAGCCGGGAGTCCAGGAAAAAGTCTAGAGCTGCCAAAGAGACAAGAGACCATTGTTTTGGGGTGCACGAGGAGAGGGGATTCAGAGCACCACCTAAATGAGCTCCACAGACGGGCACGAGCTGCGGCTATCAGCACAGACACCAGCAACCGGCATGAAACACTAAGGCTGCTGCTGCAGCCACCAAGAAGCCTGTGTGCGAGCACAGGTCACTCTCCACACCTCCCCTCCCGGGAGCCTGTGTAGCCCTATACGGCTAGGGTCCCGTGACCCAGGGACAACTTCCCCGGGAGAACACACGGCACGCCTCAGGCTGTTGCAACATCACGCTGGCCTCTGCCGCCGCAGGCTCACCCAGTGTTCCGTAACCCTCCCTCCCTCTGGCCTGAGGGACCCACAGCCCCCTAACAGATGCCCTCAGGCGACCCACACGCAGAGGCGGGGCCAAATCCAAGCTGAACCCCAGGAGCTGTGGGAACAAAGAAGAGGAAGGGAAAGTTCTCCCAGCAGCCGCAGGAGCAGCGGATTAAATCTCCACAATCAACTTGATGTACCCTGCATTTGAGGAACACCTGAATAGACAACGAATCATCCCAAAATTGAATTGGTGGACTATGGGAGGAACTGTAGACTTGGGGTTTGCTTTCTGCATCTAATTTGTTTCTGGTTTATGATTATCTTAGTTTAGTATTTAGAGCTTATTATCATTGGTAGATTTGTTAATTGATCTGGTTGCTCTCTTCCTTTTATATATATATATATATATTTTTTTTTCCCTTTTCTAAGTGTGTACGTGTATGCTTCTGTGTGTGATTTTGTCTGTATAGCTTTGCTTTTACCATATGTCCTAGGGCTCTGTCTGTCTGTTATTTTTTTCGTTTTCTTTTTTTTAGTATAGTTTCTAGCTCTTGTTATCATTGGTGGATTTGTTTTTCGGTTTGGTTGCTCTCTCTTTCTTATTACTTTTTTTTTTTTTTTTTTTTGCGAGATGCGGGCCTCTCACTGTTGCGGCCTCTCCCGTTGCGGAGCACAGGCTCCGGATGCGCAGGCTCAGTGGCCATGGCTCATGGGCCCAGCTGCTCCGCGGCATGTGGGATCTTCCTGGATCAGGGCATGAACCCGTGTCCCCTGCATTGGCAGGTGTACGCTCAACCACTGCGCCACCAGGGAAGCCCCTTATTACTTTTTTATTTTTTTTAACTTTTTTATTTTAATAACTTTATTTTATTATTATTGTCTTTCTTTCTTTCTTTTTCTTCCTCCCTTTTCTTCTGAGCCCTGTGGCTGACAGGGTCTTGGTGCTCCAGCTGGGTGTCAGGTCTGAGCCTCTGAGGTGGGAAAGCCGAGTTCAGGACATTGGTCCACCAGAGACCTCCTGGCCCCACATAATATCAATGGCGAAAACTCTCCCAGAGATATCCATCTCAACGCTAAGACCCAGCTCCACTCAATGACCAGCAAGCTACAGAGAGGCTGCATAAAATCATAATAAGTTCACAGAAACCCCAAAACACACCACCAGATGTGGTCCTGCCAACCAGAAAGACAAGATCCAGCTTCATCTACAAGAACACAGGTGTCAGTACCCTCCACCAGGAAGCCTACACAAGTCACTGAATGAACCATACCCACTGTGGGCAGACACCAAAAACAATGGGAACTACGAACCTGCAGCCTGCAAAATGGAGACCCCAAACACAGTAAGTAAAGCAAAATAAGAAGACAGAGAAACACATGGCAGATGAAGGAGCAAGGTAACCACCCACGAGACCGAACAAATGAAGAGGAAATAGGCAGTCTACATGAAAAAGAATTCAGAGTAATGATAG